TCGAGTTTAAGGGAATGAAGAGGGGGTGAATGTTTGCTACTTCCGTATATTTGGAGTCTTTGATAAAACAGACCAATTTTTCTTCAAACTTCATGTCGGTTTATAGACCAGGCTGCCAGGGTTTAGGGTACCTCATCGCTTCCTGCATCTGGAAGTAAATTCAGAACCTCAAAGCTCACCCTGCCGTATATTTTCTGCCAAGGTTCCTCACATTTTCCTCCTAGCTGCGGCCAGAGGAGCTGGCTGTCACTCAAGTAGGTCAGCCCCAGGTGAAACCAGCCACTTAGCCTCCTTCTGGGCACCCTGTGGGTATATGGAGGGCTGTTTGTTCAAAGAGCAGCTCTCCTTTCAGGTTTACCCTTTACACAGAAGAAATCTGGCTAAATTTTCTCCCTTTTCTGCCTTTCTGTGATTACATGTATTTTAGTGATTGCTAAATTTGAACTAAACCTTGAAACTAACTGCCTGCTTTCAAAACCAACCAATATGAACTCACATTTTCTAGTTTATCAGTTTTGGGGAATTTTATTAATATTATTTTTATCTTAAAGAAACATCAACTGGCTGAGTGTAGTGGCTCATGCCTGTAATCCCAGCACTTTGGGAGGCCAAGGTGGGAGGATCACTTGAGCCCAGGAGTTTGAGACCAGCCTGGGCAACATAGGGAGACCTCATCTCCACAAATAATTTTAAAAATTAAAAGGGCATGATGGCACATGCCTGTAGTCCCAGCTACTCAGGAAGTTGAAGTACAAGAATCATTTGAGCTCAGGAGGTCAAGGCTTCAGTAAGCCATGTTCATGCCACTGCACTCTAGCCTGGGCGACAGAACCAGACTCCATCTCAAAAATAATAAAGAAATATCAACTGACATCGGCATAAATATTTTAGTATCTTAATATCTTCTTCTTCAGTCATATTTTTTCCAAAGACAAGACAAAAGCATCTCCACTCAAATCAGTTTGACCACGTTCTCAACACCATGTTCAGGTGTAATTGTTGAGTGAAGGCTATTACAGACTCCAAACTAATTCATCTGGAAATGCCATGGTTCCTTTTTGCGGATATATCCCTTATACCTTCCCATTTGGGAGAAGAAAAAAGGAAACCTACCACAGGAGCAACAAAAACTGGAATTTGTTTGGCTAGCAGTCAGTGAGCCACATTCATTTCTGAGGACGTAGAGGCGGTTCGGTCCTCTCAGGGACATCCGCCATGATAAAGAGCAGTGCTTGGTCCCAGCACCTTGGGAGGCCAAGGCGGGAGGATTGTCTGAGCTCAAGAGTTTGAGACAAGCCTGAGCAGCATGGGGAGACCCTGATCACTATTTAGAAAAAAAAGCAGCACTGATGGGTGATTCCCCCTACTAACCCTCTCCACCCCACTCCCTCGTGTCCATGTACCCCACAATGCCCCTAGAGATAATTCCTAGCATCCTCAGAGGCCCTGTCAAACTATTGTTCATAAAGAGAGAACTGTTCTTGAGCCATTCCCCAACTGATCTTAGGAAGGCAGGACCGGTATTGTCTAAGTGAAGGATTAGAGAATTAGCAATGCCTACCCTAAGAGGGTAACACAGAAAGAACGCAAATTTTCTGGATATGGGATCAAATTCTGGTTTGGAATTTTGAAACTTACTGCTGTAGTACTGGCCAAACTAAGACTCTTGGATAATGTGAAGAAATACATTAGAGAGAGAGAGACAAAATATGGTCAGATTAGTGTAAATGAGAGCTTGCCAGAAGCTTCTTATAGGAACATTCTTCAATGTTAGGAAAATGGTTCATAGCACTATCACTAATATAGGTAAAATGGCTGCTAAAACAAAAAGCAAACACTTTCTGTTTCAGAAGCAGCCAAATAATCAATTATTTGATTTTTAATAGTCATGTTTGCCTTGAGGATTCTTATAATGAGATTATGTAGCCAAGTTGATTTCCCTGTTGACTTTATCAATAAGTCATCAAGCACTTCTGAATCTCCCCTCCAGAATTCTCAAAAATGTCCTACAGTAATCTCCCCAGAATTTTCTGGATTTTATGATTTTTCATAGCTCTACCTACAGCTTTGATTATTGCTGTTGTAAATAAGTCAAGAATTATAATTAAGAAGGATATGAATATGATATATCATAGTATACACAGTTGTATGTAATGAATTACCTTATTGCCCCTTTACTTGATATTCATGTTGTAAGCTCTTAACTGTGCATGTATAATTGATTCACTATGGTAAATGTGATTGTTTTAACAAAAAGTTTCAATTAAGGTTTTATTCAACAGTGTAATTCCCTTATTCAATAGTTTCTCTAGGAAAATCAAATTCAACTTATGTTGTATCTTTTTTGGGACTACATCCTGTTATAGGTGACCACCCTGCTGGAATAATAGAAGATGAGTCAGAATTTCATTCTTCCTTCCTTTATTTTCCCTGTGTGCTTTTCCCAGAAGCTAGCTTTCTATGGAATAAATTTGCCTGGGCACCATTTGTCCCATTGTTTCACTTGGGTACTCAAAGACTAGTAGACTTTTGTAGTTTATATATATATAAATGCAAACCCACTAGCACCTCTCTTACCATTGTTCTCTTTTTTAAAGAACTAGAATAAAATTTGGAGAAGCTCTGGTAGGCCTTGAGAGTATGAAAGGGCTTCTGGGATGTTGTAAAACTAAGACTGCAAGTTTTGTCCCATGACTGAAGAAGGGAAAGTATCTGATTGTTGGCCTCATAGAAATTTTGCATAGCTAAAGTATTTGTATGCTAAATCTTCTTTCAAATGGAGAAATTGAGGTTAAGCAAAAATAGATGATGGGATATAATATAGATACCTTTCCCGATTTAGTAAGCTTGCTATAGTGAAACTGTCTTCACAAAAAAATGACACCCCCCCCAACCCCCAGAATGGCTTCTGTGTTGGGATCAGTTAGCATGCTTGTTTTGGATGTCCCCAGTATGGTAAGAATGTCATAGGAAATCCTGCTGTGCGTCTATGATGAGCAGCAGGCGGGTGCACACTGTTCTATTAGGGCCATCAAACATGGACTCACGTTTCAGCGTCTGTCATCAATCACTCAGCCTTCATACATTAATATACCCTTCATTCCTTTTTGTTCCTTCTCAACCTACCTACCTATTCATGTGTGAAAGAACACTTTTTTCCCTAACCACTAACAGGTTCAACAGGTTATTTCACCTCCTAGCTGCCTCTTTATCCCTCCCACATCCTCTTTGTGCTCTAAGAGCAGGGGAACACACTATCAGATAATTGTACTCTATCATTTTCAATTTATAAACTTTATGTTGCTGTTTCTCAAAGCATATCAATAAAGCCATGGGGTGAATGGAACACTTAATATAGATTATTTTACTGAGCTTTTAAAAAAATTAAATTACCCCCATGCCAGTAAGTGAGAGGTACATGCAGAATGGCTAAAGGCGGAGGTATTTCTCAAATCTATTCAAATTAATCTGGCATAGCGTGGGCTAGAGACAAAATCAGTAGATCCACATTGCTAGACAGTATGACATATACATTTAGATCATTTTAAATAAAGTCATTACTGAATAGATCCTCCTTAAACAAATACTATTATCACAAAAAGTTTCTTATTTAAATGAGACATCAAGGACCCTCATGCTCAACCTCTGTTCAGTGCCATTTTAACACAGCCACGTCCACATCCACATGACCATTGCAGATCTGTTTGGGTGGCTTAGCTCTTACCAAAGACAACCAACAGGGCCTGGGCCAGATGGTGGAAATTTTATCCCTAGAGTTGTTTAATGAGAGAAACAAGAAGTATGAGCAATTTTCTGTAAAACAGAAAGCCAGAGTAAGAGGAGCAGATGATGTCAATAAGGAAAAAAAAAATCTGGCAGGAATTTGATATCATGCCCTCAATTATCTGTGTTTTAAAAAGTTGCATATCCTGATTGTTTCTTACATGGTGTTTGTCTAGAGTTAGCTTAAAAACCTAGATTGTTTCTTAGATGGTATGTGTCTAGAGTTAGTTTAAAAACCTTAGGCCTTTTTAATTATTGTTAAGACATTTGAAATTTTTAAGTAACTGTCTAAAGATTCTAGCTCAGAGGAAGAATGTGAACAAATCCTTGGAGTTGGTGATAAAGAAGTGAATTGCAGGACACCAAAAGACAAAATGTACTTTTGGATTTATGAGCCAGTGAAACACCAAAGCCACTGAATTTTTTCCCACTAAAGTAGAAAGAAGCTGTTAAGTACAAACACGAAAACCAACAACAAAACTTCCATGAGCCAAGAAAGGATAGTAAACTGAAGTGTGTTACCTGAGGTTCCAGTGTGATATCTTAATTCACAAAGGGTCTTGATAGTTTATGCCTGAACAGAAAGGTCCTAGGATGAGAAGACTACAAATGTTAATATGAAAAGCATATTTTGTGCATCATAAAGGTTCTAGACACAGCTGGGCCTATAAAGACAGCTTATTCTGAAATGGTTTTCTACCTCCTTCCTGGAGAGCCCATTAGTTCCTTCTGTAAAGATTCCTCTCCCATCTCTAGCTGTAGAGGCACAGGACCATTTCATGATTTTTTAGGAGTGTAACGGTGTGAAAAGCAAGCTTGTAAAATGAACTGCTTTCCTCCCCTTCCTACCTAATTTCTTTCTCCCTCTGCTCTAAAGACTAGGATATCTCTTTCTGACCCCAGAGCTCATGTTTAACTCAGAAAGTATACTTTGCAAATGTCCTGCATGTTCTAATTTGTATGGTAGAAGGAGAAAATAGCTCGTCTGAGCATCAGTTTGACATCATTATATCTCAACGGTCTTTGGAAGCCAATCCGCCTTCCCCCTTTTTTGACTATCTAAAATGCCCTTGCTAGCCAGACCCCTTTGCTAGCTACAGTGTTTGCACATTTCCTTGTTAATCAGCTGCGTCGGCTCAGAGACTGTGTGTTTTGGTGTTGTTTGTGTGTGCAATCTCGTGCCGCTTCCTGAACGCATGTGTCCCTTCCCTTCACAGCCTACTCGACACCCAGCACCTCCCCCGCAAACCGATTCGTCAGTGTTGGACCACGGGATCCAAGCTTTGTAAATATCCCTCAACAGACACAGGTGGGCCGCTCTCATCTTTTCTGTATGTGGTGCAGCTTGTATTATTCATCAGGTGCATTTTAACTTGTCTTTTGGCACAAAAGGCCGCATTTTCCAGACCCTGTCCAGTCTTCCCTTTCCTCCTGATCCCAGCCACATTTCCATGTGTTCTCAGAAATCACAGAAAACTTTGCCTGCAGTTTTTGCTTCTTGTATTGAGTGGGTAGAAGAAGAGCTGTTTTAGCTATGGCAAAAAAGGTTTCCCAGGGTTAGCTAGTGTGTGTTCCCTCTTAGGAATTCATGGCGCTGTAAATGCAAGCAGACAGAAGCAGGCCCCTACAGAACCTGAAAGTAAAACCAGTGACATCAGAGTGCATGCTGGGCATGGAGGGACCAGCCACTCCTCTGTATTCATTAGAGGGTCCCCAGGAACCTGGCAAGCTTTCTGAAAGAGAGAGGGGAAAAGGGTGCATGAGCCCTATTAAGTTGCTGGTGTTGGTCCAGAAATAAGACGTGTTTGTTAGTGGTTACTGCTGGCCACGGGGGAGCAAGGTGCGGTGGGTGGTGAGGGGTGTGTATGAGTCATATCTGAAGCAGGTGATTGAGAGAAGAGGACTGCCCAGACGTCCAGAGCTTGTCTGCCCATAGACAGTTGTGTTTTGTGCTAGTCCAGGTCAAGGAGAAGAAATCTTTTTGAAAAGTTTTGGAATGGCTGCTGTATATTGAGAAACAGTAAAAGACTTTTTAAGTTCAAAGTTAGTATAGGTAGAGGCATTTAGAGGTTTATGAAATAGAATTACATTCACGTTTTGAAATAAACTACTCTCTGATTTCCTAATTAGAACATGACCATATTTTATCATAATTAACCTAAGGAAAGTATTTTCTCTGTAAGGTTCTTAGCACGGTGTTTGAAAACATTCTTGGAGCAATTTTGTGCACATGCCTGTGTGTGGAATCTCCAGATGCCTAATTTATAACTATTCGCCTCCGTTTATAAAACTATGGCCAGGTGCATATGAATGGAATAGATTTGCCTTCCTGGGTCCCTTTGCTCCCTCTGTAAAGGGCTTTGGTTTATTGCTATGTCGACAGCACAGGTTAAACTGCATTGTATCTGAAGCCTTCCTCACACTGAAGCAGGGTCACAGAAAGTACAGCATCAGCAGAGAAGGCAGCTGGGAGGAGAGGGGGAGCCAAAATGGAAGAGAGAAGGTTAACTCTTGAATTTCCCACCTCTGTTGTTTCTTCTTAAACTGGCCTGCACATGGCATCTGAGATTAAAATCTCCTATTCAGTACCTCCCATAAAATTCTTTCAGTTATTTGCTTATTTTAAACATACCTTCAAATATTCAAACACTTTTCTGGTGAATTTGAAGTTGCATAATTACCTGTAAAGCATTAAAACGGAAGAACATAATTTAATTCTGTACATTTGGCGTAAGTGTCCAAGTTCAATGAGAGGGGGAGAACTGGAGATAGTGGCTCTATATTGGATGATTCATTTTCCCAAAGCACGAATGTCCTCAAGTTGCTTCATTAAGAGCCTTTAAAATGCAGCTTTGAAATGTCCTGTCTGTATTTTACATAGTATTTTTTATATAAGCTGTGATTCACAGCCCTGAAATTGTACGCTGTGTTCCATTCAATTTCTCTCTCTGTAATCGAAATGTATTATATTCCACTGTGGCTTTCCTTCACAAATGCCTCACTTAACCCAGAATCTGAGTTTTCGTAATGCTGACCACAAAAATTCAATTCCTAAAAATCCAGATTTTCCACGCATCTGGATGAATGATGTCATGTAGGCCCAATATTGGCATCTGGAACTGAATTTTTTTTTTTTTTTTTTTTGGTTTCTGTTAAATATTTGGCATCATGGGGACAACAGCTTAAATTTTTCTTACCACAATGACACCTGCCACATTTGGCTTGAAGAAAGTCATTCCCAATTGTCTAATGAGAAACTATGCTAATAGAGTTGTCATTTTCCCCCCCAAAAAAGATATCTTGAGGTAAAAATTATGTATTCTAAATATTTTAATTTTAAAGCATATATATTAACTCTTTCCTTAAATGAGGGATTATTTTCTGGAACCACTTAAAGTGTTAGATATATGTAAATGTAGATAATAAAAATAATAATATACCTGAAAAAAGAAGTTCCCTTTCAAGAGGACATTGTTCAGAAGAGGAATTTTTGACAAGAATTTTTAAAAATATAATTAGAACATGGTCTGCATATTTCCTAGGCAAACTTGTGTTTTTCTATATTGATACCCTTGTTATATATAGCATGACATTTATATTAATTGAATTACAGGAAAAGTTATCTGGGAAAACAAAATTTTGCTTTCTACCTATGGAAGAATAAGAATTGAAGCGTCACCCAAGCAGATACTTAAGCTTTCTAAATGTAGAAGCAGTATCTTGTACATAAATCTATAAACAAATGCAAACTAAAATGGCCTTTCTGCTCCCAAAGACCAGTTTCCAGTGGAAATCTCTTAAAATGCCTGAAGCATCATCCTGTAGAAGATGGAATTGATGGGGTCTCTGTTTTTTCAAGTGGGTAGAAATTGAACCAATGCAGGCATTATAAGTAGGCAGCTTTCCGACTATCATAAGATCTTTTTTAAGAAAAAGAGTTATTTGATTGTATATAGCTTCTACGGGGCATTTTCTATGTACTAAGTCCATCAAGTATGTGATGCACCTAATCTTTATAGTCACCTAATAGGCTAGATCTCTACTTTATAGATGTGGAAGCTGAGACTAAGGAGACTGTTGATTTTCCCAAGGCCATACTATAGTCAGGAGTGGAGCAAGAATTTGTACCCAGTTCTGTCTGACACCAAGGCCTATGCCCTCTAACCACTGTACTATGTTACCGCCTCATGAGCTGGTGAGCTCTTTTCCCTGGGGATTTTCCAACAGACTCTGATGCTCACTTCTCAGGAATACTACTGGTGGAGTCCCTGCTTTTATCCCTGAGACTGCATTCAAATCTAATCTTGAGTGTATACCCCCAAAAATGGAAAGCAAAGTTTCAAAGAGATATTTGTTTGCTTATGGTTGTAGCAGCATTCTCCACGATAGCCAAAAGGTAGAAGCAACCCAGGTGTCCAATGACAGACGAATAGATAAACAAAACATGTTGTGTACGTAGAATGGAATATTACTCAGCCTTTAAAAGGAAGGAAATTCTGACGTACGCCACAACGTGGATGAATCTTGAAGACATTATGCTCAGTGAAATAAGCCAGTCACAACAAAATAAATACTATATGATTCTACGGATGTGAGGTACCTAGAGTAGTCAAATTCATAGAAATGGAAAGTCGAGTAGTGGCTGCCAGGGGTTAGGGGGAGGGCAGAATGGGGAGTCAGTGTTAAAGGGGTGCGGAGTTTCAGCTTTGCAAGATGAAAAGAGTTCTGGAGATGAATGTTGGTGATGTTTGCACAACAACATGAACGTACCGAATCCCACTGAACTGTACACTCAAAAATGGTTAAGATGGTAAATGTTACATTGTGTGTATTTCACCACAATTTTTAAAACAGAATCATTAAATAAGCTCTAAAGTCCTTTTCACCTCTTAGGAGTTAAAAATTCTGTGAAACAGTCAGGGCAAGTAGACTGTTGATCAGAGTAATCATGTGCTGACTGCTCAGAAAAGCGCTAATGATCATGCCCAGCACATAGTGGGTACTCCGCATACATTGGCTGAGTCTAAATGGTTCAGAAGGAACTTTACAAAATATGACTTTTTCTTATTATATTCGTAATACATGTTAATTGTGGAAAATACAGATGAGAAAAAGGATAAAAATCACTTGTAGTCCTACTATTAACATTTCTATATAAATCCATCCGGAGTGTTTCTGTGCATACAAATATATTGCAAAAAGTGAGATCATATTATATACATTGTTTGGTAGCCTGCTGTTTCTTCCCCTTAACAGTATATTATGGCCTTCTTACCATGTAAATTGGAAAAATTGAATATTGGCTTTTATTGCATCTATTCATCATCTGTAATGATTGGTAGGGAAAGATAACATGGATAATTGAAAGCCATTTTTCCTCCTCTTTCGCTTGTAGTCTGTTTTTTTCTCCAGAGAATTCCTCCCTTGACTGAAGCAGAACTGCCTTCTCTTTAGCCTTGCCTTGAGCTAGTTTTCTTTCAAACTGCCTTCCAGTTGCATTGCATATCTCGCCCTGGCTTTCGGCTTTGTTCGAACATTCCTGCCTTATCTGTCCCATTCTTTTGCCTCACTTGTCTGCTACCTCTGCTACCATCATTTGCCTCTCGTTTTTCTTCCTCCTTCTCCATATCGTAACTGATCATTAAGGTGAGAGGTGGCCACCTCCTTACAGCCTTTAGAACAACCATCAACACTGAGAAACTGTGGCCGCTTGTCCCACCTTGAATCTCTTATTTTTCAACATTGTCCCGTGACAGCTGATATTAACCTATAGAAAGGTCTCTGGGGTATACAGTATTTACTTCACTTTAGACACTGTTAACGTGCCCTGCACGCCCACTGAATGATATAATGTAATGATAGGGAACCTGCCATTGTTTCAAATAGCAGAAAGTCAATGGCCATTTCAGTTGCATCCCATAACTTAATCTGATCCCTGAAAATGAGAACCATTAAGAGGAGGCATTTATTTAAAGAAAAAAAAAGTTAATATTTCATCATCAGGTAATAAATAGAAATACCAATTTCCACACAGGAGGACTGAGCAAAGAACTCATTTTGATTCAGGTTCTAGTTTAATCAAAAGGTTTAAATAAAATGCTTCACCTGCAGAACTCCAATGAGGACTAATTCTTTAAAATGAAAAATGAGTGCAAACAATATTAAAAACAGGCATTTCCTCCTTACCACCCAAATCTATCACTGTTTTGCATCAACAGAATCGTGGTATCCGAAATGCTGTTTAAAACCAAATTACCATTCAGACTATTAGAAGAATCACTTGGCATGGCATGGGCCCGATTTGTTGAC